GTTGTATGAAGGTTTGAAGCTTCATTTTACCTTTCATTTCCAAGAGTAGATTTTTAAATATCTCATAAACCAGGTAACCAGAATTCTCAGGGGAAAACTCCACAGAATTCCTATGGGCTTAAATGCATTTGATTAAACTACATTGTGAATTCTACTTCACAAACTAAAAAAAAAAAAACATTTAAGACATTTATATATTACCATCTCCAAATGTACATTTAGAAACCACAGCGAAACTGTCAAGGCTACAGTCAATGTTTAAAGAGACCCACAAACAGACTTCTCCTGGGACATCAAAGTCCATAGGGGGCATCCACCAGGAACAATTTATAATGTCACATTAATAACATATTCTGCCAGGGAGAAAAGCCTGGTTCCTTGTGGAATTCATTTAACTACACACCCCGGCACTGGAAGCAGTTTGAAATGCCCTAAACCATCCTGTCAAGCTTGTAGACACAGCTGCTGGAGGATATTGGTCTGCTGTAGGCCCCGAGTTGTATTTCCTAGGCCACACACAAATTATTCAGGCATCATTGATACATCTGGAGTCCACTGAGATGGTTTAGGGTGGGTATGCAGTTCAAGTGTAGGAAAAAAAATAATTAACTCCTTAAGAGGTTTCTGTTGGGTAATGTCATGGTCATGCTATACCAAGATCATCCATCTTTCACAGTAACTCCTCACTGACAACACCTTCCAACACCAAACCCACTCTTGAAGTGAGACTCTGAAAAGCCTCTAAACCAAAACCAAATCAATTCTTCAACAGCCCAGAAACACAGCCCAGCCTACACCAAAGCACATAATTTTCTGTCCCTCAGCCTGAAGCACCAGTCTTTCATCAATACACTTCCATTACCAGTGGTAACACTGGAACCTTTCTCTCCTGTGAACTGTTAAATTACAGAAAAAAAAAAGGTCCTTGAAAAGTTTACATGTAAAATACAAATAAAACACAACACAGAACACAAACCAAATCAAAGCAAGCACCACACGGAGTAGGATATAGCTGAAGTATAAAAGTTTAAGTACACTGACATGAAAAACCAACCCTTACATTAAGAGTAAACAGTCAGAGAGCCAGAGGTGTATGGGACAGACTGAACAGCACATCACTGCTATACCAAGGCAGTACTTTGCAATGCAAAGTGTAGTGCTGCATAGGAAGCACCAACTTTTCTTCCTGTCACAAGGAGCAGCATCCATCCATGTCAGCAGCTAAAAACTATCCCTAGGAGAGCTCACCAGGAATACTCACTCTGCTGTAACCACGTGCCACAAAAAGCAAGCCCACAAATCTCAGAGTAAGAGTTAAGTATCTGTCATAGGACCAGATCAAGTTTTTAAAAGTACTTGCCTTCATGCACCCCTAGATTTACAAAGAATTTGCCTGGAAAAAAGCAATGAAAATAATCTGTGACTGTCTCCAGTGCAACACACAGCACCTAACATTAACTTTGCTCCATCTGGAAGTGTTCAGAGCTGTCTCCAACAGTATTACAGATTTTCATTTGAAAAGTCTGAAGGGACTCATCATTTAAAAATCTACAGTCTCCTCTTTCCTACAGATGAATAAAGATGCCTCTGTTTATAAAGAAAACTTTCTGTAACTGCAAGAGCAGTGCAGTATAGTTCAGTAGAGTTGAACAGACTGAATTCATAGCACCATTTCAGAAATTCTTCAAATCCATAAATTTACAGGAATTATGCATATGAATGCTGCTCTTTACATACTCAATGACAATCAGGATATAGAGAGGCCCACCTGCATTCTGTGGGCTTCACTACATGCCACTTCAAACTGCATAAAAAGTACAAATGTTTTAAAGTATTTATTCAATTTCGTCTTTGATTCCACCAGTACACATTTTTAGAAAACATGACCTCAGTACTTATTTAGTGGCTTAGAATATCAATTATAACCTGAGTAGGTCGTTAAGAAGTTACTAATTCCACAGAAAACTCATCAACGAGTTGAAAACTCCTCATTTTTAGAAGATAAATTCTCTTATTATTCAGGACAGAACTGTTTCATTAGTGTTTCAACCTAGCAGAACCTATAAGGGCTGCAGTTCACCAATACAAATATTCATGCTATACATGCAATTCTACTGCTTGCTTTTGGAATTACAAAATGCACTACATTCAAATGAAAGCACGCATATTTTTATGTTGTACTATCTTGAAATATCCATGTATGTGCAAAGACCAATTCAAATACTTTTTACAGAAATTTGTGGAAAAAAATTGTTTGGAGTCACAATTGTTAAAAGTCACAGATTTTTCCATGTTAGAGAACGTCTTAAACATTTTAAAGGAAAAAAAAAAGTGCTCACTTTGAAACCTTCCAGCTACAAAAATTTCAGGAGCTTATGCTCAAAATCCAAAGCTTAACTGAGGGTTTTAGGCCTCTGGTCACTGACACTGCAACTATCCACATAGAGAGGCAGCTTAGGAACGATTAGTTTTCATTAATAGGAGTGCACACAACACTGCTGCCACCGCCAGAACGTTGGCAAGAAGCAGAGCCTGTGCTCAGTGCTCTTATCTTCCAGCTGACAAAGACAGTGATCAATACATGAAGTAGATAACCTGCTTCTGAATAAATAAATAAATCTGTGTGTTAAGCAGGGGGAGAATGTCTCTCTAGGTCACTAGTGCAGAGGTACGTTGTTAAGTCCACTGTTGCCCAAGGCAAGATGGATCACAGCCTCTACAGGAGGGGCTGTTGCAGCTGCAGTACCCCAAGGAACACTGGCAGCAGTGGTACCTCCATTTGATAAGGTGGACAGCTCTGTGCACTGGGCTGTACAGCCTTCCTTCTAAGGAACCCAAAAGGCAGGGCCTCAGCTTTCTTTAAGCCTATCATTTATTTAACAGCAGAAACTAAACTTCATGGCTTTAAGGTTAATCATGAATACTGACATTTTCAGAGACAGGAAGTTAAGTCTTCTGCTAGTCTTGATGAAGTAAATCCAATCAAAATCAAACACAGCCTATGTCAGTCTCCCACTAGTAGCATCTCACCTATACAATTTACTATAAAGATATTTGATTGAGAACCAACTATTTTGTTTAATAGATCTTCAATCAAAAAATTAACTAACTAACTGAACACTCTCTCCCAGCTCCTCCACACTAGCTTCCTACTCAACAGCTTGCTGAGATTTTTCCAAGTTTTCTATCACACAATCACAAAAAAACTGAGTTTGACAAGGACCTCTAGAGCTCATCCAGTCCAATCCCCTGCTCAAACAGGATGTACTGGAGTGGGATTTCCAGGACCACTCCATATGCCTTCTGGCTATCTCCAAACGTGAAGATTCCACAACCTCTCTGGACAACCTGCTCCAACACTGCTGCCCTCACAGTACAGATGAGCTACCTTAAGTTCAGGCAGAGATTCCTGTGCTTCCATTTGTGGTCATTGCCTCTGAACTCTCAACTCCCTTCCCAATGCACTGATGAGACACTCTCATCCTGAGCTTTCTCTCCACTGAACAATTCCAGCAATTCTCCCAGCCTGTTCTTCATGTGAGAGAAGCTCCTGTAATTATCTTAGTGGACTCTTCACTGCACTCTATCCAGTAGCTCTGTTTCTTTTACTGTGGAGCCCAGAAGTGAACCCAGTACTCCAGATGTGTCCTAACCACTGCTGAGATCGCTCACCTAAATTGAAATCCTTGCCTAGCATTTCCTAAAATTCTGCTGCAAACAGTGAAGAAGTTGCATTTACGCAGTTCAGAGCTCATTCTACTCATCAGTATTTTGCTAGAAGTTTCCTCCAATCTTCCCTTTCCTACTTTTAGCTGATTTCACACTGGATCCAACTGCCCAATTCAGCTGCCTATCTTCTACCAGATTCTTCCTCTAGCTACTCACCTAATCTCATCTAATTCATCAACTACCATTCTACTGCATTCAACCTCTAGCCCTTCAACCCCCTTTCTAATCCTTCATTAGTCATCTAACAGCTGATGATCCTGAAATAGCAAACCAGAGAAAGACAGAATTAAAATCTGAGCTGAACTACCTCCTTAATGCTGCCAAAGACAATAAATTACTTATAAAAGTATTAAAACATTTACAAACATTATTACAGAGCTAAATCAATATCTACCTACTGAACAGGAAGAAAGCCTGGTTTTTCAAGTACACTTCTTACAGTTTTCAGTGTGGAACTTTCTCACAGTAAATACTGAACACAGGATCTGTTCTGCTTTATGCGTCAGCATTTTGCTGAGCTGAACACACAGAGAGAGATTGCATAAGAATCAGAGCACCTCTGAAAAGACCTTCACTAGAACAAGCAAGAAGACCTTCGGCAAGAGGGCAAAAAGATTACTTTGACAACTTTTATCACATATTGCTTCCTTTAATGAATGCTTCCTAAATGAAGAATTCAAGCCTCAAGAACTATTAATCTGAGTCTCTAAAGGTTCTATACCCCAAGCAAACAAGTGACATGAATTTGGAGTGCCTACATTATGTATACAACTGTTCTTATTCTGACATAAGAAAATCAGTCCTGCTAGGACATAAATTCACACTGAGAGTTACGGTGTAACAGTGATAGTTAAGCTGTCCCATTCAGAAGCTTTCAAAGTTTTATTTTTTCATTTATTTACAGGTCAAAAGAGAGAAATCAACAGACTAAGTTAGCCTGCTCAAATTCTCAAGAGAAAATTCCAGTATGCACTTTTTCTGTTGAATATGATTTCCTTTCAACTTAAGAGACATGGCAGACATCATTTTATGGTTTAGCAAACCAGGCCTTCCAACAAAACATTAACTGGCAAGCCCTACCTGTTCTGTAGTATAAAATTAACCAAGAAACGGGTATGAAACAAAAATTTCAAATATCATACAGAATACCAGTTGTTTGCCTCATTTTCAGAACTATTTCTAATAAAACTACATTAGCTATGTTTGTTTTGTAAGAGTGAAGTTTTAGCCACACTTTAGACACATGTAACTAAAACCAGGGGATCACTTACCGAAGAAGTCAAATGAAAAGGGGTCCCTTCCACCAAAAAACTCCCTGAAGACATCATCTGGGTTGCGGAATGTAAATCCAAAATCAAATGGATTATCATGATGATTTCCACCTGCAAACAAAAAAAAAGGGAAAAAAGTTAAATTTCAGTTACTTTCACATATTCTTACTTATAAGAAAGTTCACACCTATAGGGTACTTGAATAATCTAAAATTACAAACAATTCCCAAAATTTCTCTTTCAGATATCATTTAACTTCAGTACACACATTACTTCATTACTTTTTATAATAGTTTCTCTGTTTTCACATAACAGCAATACCTTTTATAATAACTAGAAAAAACTGTAAAATAATTGCAATCTTGATTTTTAAAAGACTGAATTTTAGGCCCTAGTACAGGCATTTCCAGATTCCTGTCTTGAAAAGAAAATAGAGAAAGCAAAAAACTGCTGGTTGTCAACATACCTCCACCTCCATTTATTAGGCCTTCTTTTCCATATCTGTCATAGATGTCACGCTTTTTAGCTACAAGGAGAAGATGTACATCAGTAAACAGGTTTGTTGGTTTTGTGAAAAAGTGTGCAAAAACACTTAACCAGCATTCTCAGTTAAGCATCTTCTCAAAGCTAGTTTATTTAAGGAAGTTCTGGCTGAGCATCTTCAACAAGAACTGCCAAAGCAATTTACTTCAGAAAGAACAGTTACTGAAATTCAAACTTAAGAGTAAGTTGTAGAAAGTCCAGTCCTGATGTATAAGAAAAAGTTTGGTTTAAGAAAATAGAAATTTGCCTTTAAGAAGAATATGGCAGATTTCTTCTTTGGACAGCCACCATGAAAAGCTTTAAGGCTGTGAAGGACCTCTGGACTTCAACCTGCTCCCCCACACAAGTCTAACTGTAAAGTTGGTCACATCTTGCCTGAACAAAATGCTGATGGCATCAATTTCTGAGAGAAGAATTCTACAGGCTCTCTGGAGGGCAGTTCCAGTGCTCAGGCATTCCCTTCCTTCCATCCCACTTGCAAACCTTGACCATTGCCTCTTTTCCTTTTCTTGCACAAGGCCAAGCCCATTGTGTGGAGGTTATGAGAACAGGAGACCAGTGTTTATATGAATGACTGCAAACCCCTAAAATTAATTATAACCACTTCTGCTGGCTTAATTGTGGGATATGGAATGGAGAATGAAGTGATGTTCCAAAATGCCATGGAAGGATGTGACTCAAACTGCTTGCTCTCTATTACTTCAGAAGGCATGGAATGACATTAATTTCATTGCAGAACAGACAGTATTCATGAGAAAGGAGAGAAAAGTGAACTCTACACTACTGCACAAGATCAGATGGCACTTTGGTACTGGAAGGGAACCTGAAGTCCTTAAAGAGGCAGACAAGACAGTTCACTTTGCCTGCACTGTTGTGGGAGTATCAGTCAAAAACCAATCAGGGCATTTGATTTTATTATCTTAATATTATTATGCTTTTCCCAGTGGAATCTCTTCAGTGAAAGATATTTTTAAAATTTAAACAGCATCACTGAAAGAACATGCAGTTACCTCAAACAGATGCCTGAAAGTAAAATACTTCTGACTAACAGGAATTAAAATTTTATATAATGGTTATCATCTCAAGTAATAGGAGCTTGCAATAGGTTCACATGCAGACAAATCCCCAAAGCTTGATACATTATCTGTACTGCCCTTCTAGACAGCAGTTTTTAAAGAAAGGAGGTTAACATACCCATCAGATTATGAAGAAGAAAGCAGCAAGGTAGATAAACTGCCATGGGCAGGAAACAGCAAGGGTGCCCTGAGGGCTCACAAAGACCAAAATTCATCTTGAAAAATGTTCCATTTTTGAAACCACAAGGTTTCCCACAAGGGAAGTGTGTTCAATGATCACCCAATTTCAGTTTTGTTTTTTTTTTTTTTTCTTATGTAATCCCTTACAAAACTATTCTTCTGCCAAAAATCTGTCATCATTCAAGCCTGTAATGGTGTCAGAAAATGTAATTAAGTTTGCAGAGCATTTGACTGCCTCTCAACCACTGGGCTCAGGATTCTGGTATCCCTGCTGCACAAATGATTGTTAAGACACCAGTAACTTAGGATTTGGCATAAATCCAAAAACTGGCAGCACTTTTAGAAGCTGTTCTAAAATTCTAGCACTGTACTGTTTCCAAAGAACTTAGAGATCTGTTTAACAACCAGACCAGTATCCTATTTTTATCCTGCCCAAAAAAATTAGCTTAAGAAGGATAAAGTACTCTAAAAGACAAGTATACAATGAACTAATGATAAATTAAGTTCTTTTTCTCCCCTGTTAATTAAATATCAAAACCAAGCAAAGAAACACAGTGTACGAGACTGCAGCTCACTAAATCAGGCTGAACTCTGAGAGGTAATCTAGATGCTGCTAGAGCTTTAAATATAGCTTTCCCATGCTCACTGTCTCAGGTGAAATCAAGGACACTTCAGAAATAGCATATAGACAGCTGCAGTCAATTACAGAGGAAAATAATCAAAGTAGCTTAAATCACTTTGTTATGATTCAGGCTGCTTTTGTCAGAACACTGGCAAAAGTTAATGATACTCTTCAAGGAAAAAGACATGGGTGAACTGTAATCTGCATTCCTGCACTACGTGGGTCAGACTAAACACCTCTTTCAGAACAATTCAAAATAAACACTATCTTTAGTATCACAGTTGACCGAATTTACAAAATTCACTCAAATGAAATTCAAACTTTCAGCAAGTATGCTTGGGTTTTGTCAAGACTAGTTTACTGTTACAAAAACTAGAAGCTGTAGGCCCAACAGTGGATACTTCAGAGTTGGTGTAGCCTGACTTTAGAGGATAAACACAATACCCCTATATTGTCAGTAACACTGGCCTCACCTGCTAACATAAAATTAACCTTGGGATTCACAGAAGTCTCTACAGAAATGTCTAGCAGACACTGAATTTCAGTTTCTAGTAGTTTGATTACCTATCTAGAGAGATCCTGAATTTTTTATTTCAAAATTTCTGCTTATTCTGTCTTATCTGCAAGCATCTTTCTCTTTCCTTGCTTTTCAAAAGGAAGAAGTCAAGCTGGATGGTGAACCAAAACTACAATATCCTTTCAAAGATCAACACTTTCAGTCTTATCCCCAGGACAGAGACAGGCAGTTCAAGAGCCCTTTTGAAATACCTACCATCTGACAAGACTTCATAGGCCTCAGCTACTTGCTTGAATTGCCGTTCTGCCTCATCTTTATTGTCTGGATTTTTATCAGGGTGCCATTTCAGTGCCAATTTACGGTATCTGAATGGAAGGAAAACAAAGGATAGTTTACTCTGAAATAATAAAATATGCTATAGAAATAAACACAATGCTGTCAGGTTAAACAGGTTGTCAAGGATCGAAATAAATTCCTGGTGCTTTGTACCTTGCATTTAGATGTTGGGACCAACAGATCCTGCAGGAACACAAAGAACCCCCTACTCAGATATGTTTTAAATTAGAAGGTAGGTTTGGGGTTCCTAACTTATTCTGAAATTATTCTTGTGCATTTCTGATGATCCACATCTGCGAGACCTAAGCAAAACATTCCAAAGTATCTCTGCTGTGGGCTTCTCCTTAGAGCTCTGTAATTATTCAACACTACAACCAACCAAGAGAAGCATCAATAGGGACCTGGTATGTTAAAAGTTGATAAAGCTCCAAGAACAAATAGTCAAGCTGGATGGTGAACCAAAATTACAATATCCTTTCAAAGCATCACAGATCAACACTTTCAGTCTTATCCCCAGGACAGAGACAGGCAGTTCAAGAGCCCTTTTGAAATACCTACCATCTGACAAGACTTCATAGGCCTCAGCTACTTGCTTGAATTGCCGTTCTGCCTCATCTTTATTGTCTGGATTTTTATCAGGATGCCATTTCAGTGCCAATTTACGGTATCTGAATGGAAGGAAAACAAAGGATAGTTTACTCTGAAATAATAAAATATGCTATAGAAATAAACACAATGCTGTCAGGTTAAACAGGTTGTCAAGGATCGAAATAAATTCCTGGTGCTTTGTACCTTGCATTTAGATGTTGGGACCAACAGATCCTGCAGGAACACAAAGAACCCCCTACTCAGATATGTTTTAAATTAGAAGGTAGGTTTGGGGTTCCTAACTTATTCTGAAATTATTCTTGTGCATTTCTGATGATCCACATCTGCGAGACCTAAGCAAAACATTCCAAAGTATCTCTGCTGTGGGCTTCTCCTTAGAGCTCTGTAATTATTCAACACTACAACCCACCAAGAGAAGCATCAATAGGGACCTGGTATGTTAAAAGTTGATAAAGCTCCAAGAACAAACTCATTGCGACATCCTAACATCAATGCCTTCTTTGACAGCTACACCTGCACACAATTCCTATCCTCAAACGAAACATTTTAGGCTAAGTGTTCATAACTTCTTACTTAGAGGGGCAAAGCTAAGCCTGCCCCTAGGTTGATGTACTTTGCAATCATCCAAGATCACAGCTCAAACATTTGAGTTGATAAAGTAGCATGTGCAGGAATTTGCAAAAGAACACAGGAAGACAACGAAGCGTGAATCCAAAAACCATGTTATTACATCTGTCTCTTAAAATCCATAACATCTACAGCAGTGACACTCACGCTTTTTTGATATCCTCTGCTGAGGCATGCTTCTGCACTCCCAGAACTTCATAATAATCCACCATGTTTCAGGAGTTCTTGTGGTAACAACAGCCGAGTCTTTCCAGTCCTGTAACAACAACAACTTGTAAATAAAGCTTGTCCAGTACTGCTACCTCATAAAAGTCAGGTAGGAGCCTGGTATTGCCTTGTGTCAAACCTGACCGAAGAAAGACAAAGTTCAAATGCTCCAAACCCCAAAAAAAGAAAACCACTTTACTTTAGGTCAAGAGATCAAACAATTACTTTAATTCAGATTTTTATGTTCTTTAATCCCACTGAAACACAGTACACAAACACACAGATATATAGCAGTTCCTGAAACAGATCAGACTGATAAGCTAAATTTAGTCAGTATTTTAAGAAGGGCATCTGGATCACAGTTTTCATGTAGATATTAATAACTCTGAATGCAAAAGTTCACCTGTCATCTATGACACCTGTCATGTCTAAAGCACATATGGGCATAAACAAAGGGATCCATCTTTCACATCTGTTCTTCAGAACATTACTTCCACTGACATACTCCCTTCAGAAAAGCAATGTTTGTGCAGGTCTTGGAAATTTAAAACTTAGTCTTGGTGAGACAAAAAAGCCTTTCTTGTACTCAGACTTTGACAAAAAATGTGCACGTTGCCAAAGCTACTGAATACCATTTGCCTCCTTTACATTTACCAAGAGAAGCACATAACCAGGCAAGATTGCTCCAACTGCAAGGTAACAAACCAACTCAAGTGCAGAGGCACCTAGTGCTTGTTAGTATAAAGAAACAGTTACCACAGGCATCCTGAGAAACCTAGAAGTTAAAAAAAGTAATTTAAATATTAACAGTTTCTTGTCAACATTAGAGAATAATTACAAGGAACAGTTACACTGACCATTACTCCAACTAAATGACTCTAAGATGAAAGAACCTTTCTAAAAATTTTCAAGAATGTTACATGTCTTCATGCAATGGTGCCCTTCTCTCCACCATTAAAATATCTCCATTCTGGCAAAACTTCCAAGCCCCTTTCCATCCTACCACTGCTGGTTTGTTTCAATTTAAGGAACAAGGAAATAGTGACCTTTACCAGTAGTTATCAACTTGTTGCAGGGAAAGTCACCTAAATGCTCTCAGAACATAATACAGTAATGTATTAGTCACATTTTCTTATCTTGTGCATCAAGAACAAAAATTCATTGAAATAACAAATAATCTTTTCCCCGTCAAGTCATTCAGCATTTTTCATTTTAGCCCAGGCAGTCTCAGTTTCCTTTTCTTTCCTATAAATTCTGAAAGAACCAAGTGTGATGTAGCCTAGTGAAATATTCTGAAATCAATTTATTGATTTTTTACATGTATCTTTCAACATTCTGGGATATAAACACTCAAAAAAGACTTCCTTTTAAAATAAACTGGTACATCTTCAAAATATGTTCCTGCTGTAGGTTAAAATTTAATTAACTTTAATTATGGATTATGGTTACACACACATTTCCTCAAATGGTGAAACCAGTTTAAGAGATACCCTGCCATGCTTCTTGCCCTCTCCAAACTACTTAAAGAAGCAAATGTATTGGAGGACCCACGTGTTTAAAACTTGCGTGGTTTTAGCAATCCACTTAACCATACAGTCCCACAAACACAAAATTAAAATGTAGCAAGTAAATAGCCCTTTGAAGAAATCTCCACATCAAAAAAACCCGTAAGGGTATAGTTAATACTGTGACCAACACCAAAGGAAGTTGGGGGACATACATTAACATTAAGAATGCCAATAATAATATACTGATGGCAGGGTTCAATATGTAAACACAGAGATTACCAAAAATATCCCAGGATATCTGCTATCAACTGGCCTCTCCAGTCTTGCTGTTTCCCACACAACAATTAGAACAACTCTGTGAACACAGAGGCGAGAGCAAAGTCAGTATGGTTAAGTGTGTTATCAAATCCCACAGCCAGCTCATGAACAATAGTGTACATGGAACATAGAGGTTGCAAAAGCAAATCAGAAGGAGGGAATCCAGTACGAGTCAAGCTTAAGTCTAGAGGTCAGAGCCCCTCCTAAAAAGAGAGACAAGCCTAAAACTAATAAGCAAACAGCAAGAAGCCAAAAGAACAAGAGCAGATACCATGATACTAAGTATTCTTTCCATACTCTCCTTTTCTTACATACAAGATTTTCAATAGCTCTCCTCCCAATTCTGGTACCTATCTTAGAGGGAAAACTTAAAACTCAAGCTTCTAACTAGGAAAAGCAACACTTAGATGTAAAAAATAAATCACATCTTTTCCTACTGAACTTTGTACACGCAGGTAGTCGTACTGATTTCAACACAGTATTTTTTTTAAACTTTCCTGCTTGTTTAAAAGCAATGTTGCAGATCTGTGATGTTCAGATTCAATATAAACACTATATATCCTCGATAACAGAAGCCTGAACTTGGGACAAAAAAAAAAAAGCTGAAGCAACATGATGACCTCTTAACAGATAACTGTGACCCTAAAAAGCTATTCCTACAAGATAGAGAAATTATTTGTTTCAAAGAAATATCTGGGGATTGCATATTCTGTCTTTAGCGAGTGTAAACTGGTCAGTTTTCATTTGTCACTAGTATGAAGTTTGGAATTAAAACAAGCCAGAAATCTCCTGAAGAAAGAAAGAACGAGAATATTAAGAATTTGTTTTGTTTCTTTCTCCTAATCAAAGTGTCACTAAAGTCAGGTGACAGGAAGCATTCATCTCTGATATCCTGTTATTTCTATCTGCTACTTATCATAAAGCATAAACTGTACTGCTGAAAACTTCAGTTATCATAGGAACTTTTTGTATGTAAAAAGGTTTTTAAAATATTTACAAGAAAAAATTCTGCAGCGTCTTTTGTCCAGCTAAAGAAAAAAAAAGTCAGCTTGTGTTTAGCCCCTCAACAGCTGGACAAAAAAACACCATGCACACCCACAAAACCCCCCTCGTCCAAACTATCCAACAATATTCACAAACTAGAAAATACCTCTATCTGCAATCTTTTCAGGACAGAATAATTTAAAATATTTACTCAAGAAAACAGCCACCATTAGCTTATAATAAAGCAGAATATGAATGATCATTGACTTAGAAAATAGAAAATGGCCAATTAAAAACCAAAAAACTGGTACTTTTAAGGCTAGTAGAAATATGCATGGTGAAAATCCCACAATGTTTCAAAGATGCAAACCATATACCTCCCTGCAAGAAACCACCCAACTGTCCCAATCAAAATGACATGACAAAAATCTTCTCCAGACACACAATCTGTCAAATAATTTGTCTCCAAATATACAAGCAAGGCTCATTAATTGCCTAATTAGAGTTTTTAGAGTTTTTTCTAAAGCCAGGAGGAAGCCAGCTCACATTAGCTATTTCCTGCCTCTATCCACAGAAAATCTTCAAAATTTCAGAAGAAAAGACAAGCCAAAAAAATAAACCAGCTGAAAGGAGATGTTTCATGGCCTTCATGTTTGCTCGCAAAAATCTGTATTTCCCTGAGCTGGGAACTGCACTATGCTTACAGTCTGCTATCAGCTACTCCAACTCCTTCTCTGGGGCACGAAAATCAAACAGGCAAATGTTTATGTGAACCAAAGGTTTCCACAGTTTATGGATTTCTCAGGCATCACAGCCGAAGGCAGCCTTGTTCTGCTTTACAGAGCAGTGGCCCTGAACCAGCAGCTCAATGCAAGTGACAGAGCCACATGACAGGCCCAGGCCCTCCCCACACAGCTCAGCCAGAGTTACCAAACCTGGCTCATAAACTCTCTTTACAGTCCTCAGCTACACAAAAAGCATAAGAAGTATTGCAAAAGACATATATGTAGAGAGCTCCAAACTTTTATAAGATCAGATGGCAGAGAAAAGCAAGTAATCACACGAACAACCAGCAGGGCTGACAAAGAAGCACCCCTAACTAAATACGGAATGGGGGAAAGCATCCAAACGAGAAATTCTTTAGAGCAGCCAGGAGGGAATTCAGACAGCAAGGGGCATGCGACCTTTGCAGTCAGCTTAGTCAGAAAAAGTTATCTATTTCTGGCCATGAAGCAATGGGCAGCACAGAGAGTCCTCAAAGATGCCAGAACAGCTCGAGCTTAGTGACTCCAGCAGTCACCTGGAGAGCAGGATGGAGTTCCAAACTCCTGATTCACAAAGTTCACAGAGCAGGCACTCATCAACATCCTCTGCAAGTCCCACAGCCACCCAGGTGCCAGCACCTGCCTGCTTTCCATGGCCTTGACTAAAGGATTGCATCCTGCTGTCAGCTCTGAAGGAACAAACACCCTGCTCTGAATCCCAGTTCACTTTGACTGAACTCACAAAAATACGAAAATTCCCACAGTTTACCAGAAAATGTTTAAAGAGTAAGAATGCTAAGGAACAAATAAAGTTACTGATGAGTGCAAGAACACAGAGCAAGAAAACCTGCGCAAGGTTTTAATGTGATTAATAAACCTGACAAATACATTTAAACAAGGCACCAGCATTAATTTTTTCCTCCCACTTATACATACACAGTGCAGTGCAGACTAAAGCATATTAACAACTTCAATACTTTTACTTACCTAAGCTCAGAAAAACTGTTTAAAACAGTTTAACTTCACAGGCTCCTGAAATTTATTCTTTCATGGAAAAATGTAAATTTACCATATAATTTAAATTAATACAATGTACTTAAATAGCCACGTTTATGCTCATTATTTTAATACTCCCTCAGTATCCCCAGGAGATGAATTTACTAAAATGCACATTCCAAAAAGCTTAGTTTAATCTCATGTTTACAGCAAACATCCTGCTTGTATGTCAGACAGCAGAGTGGATTTGGATACAGTTATCACGATACCAGCTCACACAGGGAGAAGGCAGCTGGGCTGACTGCTTTACCTTGCAGTGCATGTTCCACTGCAGAAAAGCCAGCAACAACAAAACTCCACCACAGCCAAACAAGAGACACCTGTACAGGACACCCTCACCCCTTAAGGCAGCAAGCCACAAAGAACTCTGTCCACTCCTCTGCTCCCCAAGGCAGCAAGACAACTCTGGCAGGAATTACGGGGCTTGGTCTGTACTGCTGCCCGGCACATGGAAAGCCCATAGAGGGCAACAAGTAAGAAACCATTAAAAAAGAGTGAACCAACCAAAAATAGAAACAGAAGAAATCCAAAATCTTCATCTGTGAAAGAAATGTAAACTGGCTCACAAAAAACAGGGAAGGATGTGGATCAGTCAACAGGCCACCCTCACTCCCTTGGCTGAGACTCTCCTGCTTATCCATCCGATCTCTGATAAAAAGGGACTTATTCATGATCTTTCCTTAAAGCAAAGGAGCACTTTTCCAAAACAACTCAGGTGTCCAAATTTGGAATTGTGTCGCAAATATCTGGAACACTGTCACCCTCCTAAAAACTAACCATAAAAGGCTATTTTATACAAAGTAAAATCTGTATCTTATCTTAAAAAATGTATGATCTGCATATGATTAAGCAATTAAAAATGGTGAAAGCCTCAACTGAAAGACATGGCCCAGAAAGTTTTAGGCAAATAATAACATGCAATCAGATGATCCTTTAGGGAAAGGAAAATAGTTCAAAGTTTCTACACATTTCCCCTGAAGTGTTTTTGAGTCATGATAACTTTATTTAAGCCAAAAACGAAAAAAGAAAAAAAAAACCTTCCTTAAAGCAAAGAACAAGTTCTTTTTCAGAGTGTTGATAGGCTGTCATGGATTCAAACTACATTTTAAGATAGAAAAAATATTTCTAATCAGAAAAGTTAAAGTTTTAATAAATACTGGCTACAATGTAGCTATGAATGGCTTCAGACTTACTATATGGCCTTTAAGATCCTTGTTAAGTACTGTCCTCGCTAATATCAGTGGGATTTCAGTATCCAGAACAAATAGAAAACATAAAACCTACAACTAGTAACTGTAGGAGTGAAATGCATATGCATGAATTATTTCTTCCCCAGCAGTTAAATAAATAAAGCAGAATTATTTCATTAAGTCTAAAGTACGGAAAATCCAACATCCATCCAAATGTATTTCATTCAAAAGAAAATAGAATTTAAACTGGAATTTAGGATCTGTGTTAAATGCTGCCAAGCTGAATTTTTTTTTTTTTTTTTTACTGAAATATGACCATTTGGGGACCCTCAACTACAGTTTTGTTTTAAATCTATCTTGAAAAAAAACAATCATCATATGCAAGATCCAACAAGTTGTGACAAAGCAAAGCAATTTCTCACTAATCCTTCCATTGCTTGAATAAGACAAAGGAAAAGCTTTGTCAGGAAATGTTTCCAGCGCACAACTGATGAGGTTCTTTACAAATGCTATTAGAGAAATGGAGCACTTCCTACTTAAGGAGCACAATGCTTAAGCATAAACCTCACACAGCCGAACGAATTCCCTGGGAAGCATCCCTGCAGGGCTCAGAAGCGGTGGATGTGCCCTGGAAGGCCGGAGCGGCCCCGGCTGCCCCGCTGACATTCCCGCCCGTTCCGGGCACCAGGAATCACCGCCCCCGTCCCACGCCGGCTCCGCTCACACAGCTCACTGCGCCAGCGAGCGCGGCACGGACGCACAGCAAACCAAACACCTGGGATTTGTTTCTCGTGTACGGTTAGCAACTCCTATATCCTGCATGAGATGATGATTTAACTAAGTTATCCCATCTACCCGCATACATTCCAGAACTTCTAATGGATAAAAAAAAGAATACAGTCGGTAAAGAAATCTATTTATCCATTAAAAAAAAAAAAAATCAGTAGCAAAACACATTAGCCCTCTAACTGAAAGTTCAGCGTCACACAAAAGTAAAGCCCTCCCCTCCTTCTTCCCAAACCCAGCCAAGATAAATCAGCAAACTGCATCGACCTGGGAAGGACAGAGAAAATAAGACAGAGAAGCTGTCTGGGTAAGAATCTGCTGTAGTTTGAAGCACAAGTACTAAAAAGACAAGCCCGATGGACAAGGAGAACTCTGCAGTTTACAGATTTAGTTTACATTATTAGTAGCACTGCAGTCTCAACAGTGCTGACAATAAAAGAAGCAATTTAAATTTCTACTCCAATAGAGCTTATTTAAGAAAATTAATTCTAATTTAACTTCCATTTTCAACACACTCTTATTCTCCACTGAGAAGTCAGCACAGACGCCAAGAGGAGTACACAAAGTTAGAGCAGTGTTGTGCAATAGTTAAAATTCTGGTTGTTTGCAGTAAAAAAGTAATCACAGAGACAAGATCTTTAAGTACATTTACTCATTGGGCCAAACAAATCTTCTTTGACAACATAATCCATCAAACTAAATGGTATTTTCACTACTAGGCTCTTGATCACCAGCTGAACACAAAATCCCTAACTGGAGTGCAAGGATCTCCAAAGAGTAAACAGAAATTAAGGTCAGCAGGCAGCAGTGACTGCAACCTCTGCTGCAGGACGGGAGAGGCAGAGCCTTGCTTCATCCCAGTTGTTCCCTTTGTGTCAACACCTTTTTCTTATCACTTTTTGACACTTTATACCCTATAAACTCTTGGGTTTGATCACCGACTACGCAACGACACAAGCCTAACCATTTGTACATTATAAATGCAGCTTTCAAGTTACCATACCTAAGTAAGTAGCAGTTTATTATTATCATAATTTAGAAGAGATCTGTTCAGTATTTTGAATGATTTCGAACACCTTTGTTAGCATGGCTGAAGCACACGTTTTCAGCAGCCAAGGAGAGCTCAGACAGCAACACAACCCGAAGTGTTGGTGCAAACAGGAACGCGAGCCGTAAACCCAGCCCACTGTCCCCTCCGGAGCGCAACAAACACCGACGACAAACTGTGTTCCTTACCTGGCAGGGTCAGTTTTCAACTCGGCTCGGAACCTGGCAACAGCGAGCTCAAAACACCCGACCTCTGCCGACCTCACCCACAACAAACCTCCCTCCTGCCCCTGCCCCGAGCAAGAATCACGGAGCAGAACGTAACGAAACTGCTTCCATCGGGGGAGAAACACAGAGCGTTTGGCTTAGGATCATCGGGGGTGGAAAATCCTCCGAGATCATCCAGTCCAAACATCCCCCAACACCGCCACTTGTGCCCCTTAACCACCAACCCCACCCAGCGCCACATCCAGGCGCTCCCAAAAGACGGTGACTCCAACGCCGCCCTTGGCAACCTATTCCAATGCCTGACCAGCCTAAATGTGAAACATCTTTTACATGATCTAATCTGAATCTGCCCCGTCTCATCCTAAGGCCGTTTCCTAGCAGAACGTAACGAAACTGCTTCCATCGGGGGAGAAACACAGAGCGTTTGGCTTAGGATCATCGGGGGTGGAAAATCCTCCGAGATCATCCAGTCCAAACATCCCCCAACACCGCCACTTGTGCCCCTTAACCACCAACCCACCCAGCGCCACATCCAGGCGCTCCCAAAAGACGGTGACTCCAACACCGCCCTTGGCAACCCATTCCAATGCCTGACCACCCTAAATGTGAAACATCTTTTACATGATCTAATCTGAATCTGCCCCGTCTCATCCTAAGGCCGTTTCCTCCGGTCCTCTCACTGCGGGCACGGCCAAAGAGTCCGGCCCGTCCGGCCCGACCGTCTCCTTTCAGGGACTGTGGAGAAAACGAGAACACGACACCGCTCGCAGGCCGCCAAGGCACTACCCTGCGCCAAAACGCGCTTTAAGGACAAGATCTGTTTAACGAAACGAGGCTCGCCCTCATCCCCTCGAAACCGACACCACTGTGAGCAAGGAATGGAAATCCGGCATTTTCTCCTGCCTTGCGGCGCGCAGGCGGCAGCGCGGGCCGGGGCCGAACGTCCCGGGGCTCGTCCCGCTCCGAGTGCCGGGGGCAGCCCCGGGCAGCCGCGAGCTCCCCGCGATCCCGGAGTCCCGCCAAGGCCAGGCAGAGCCCCCACGGCACCCGGGGCCGATCCAGCACTGCGGGGCCTGCGCCGGCCGCGCCGCGAGGCCCCGGTACCGGGGACGCCGCTGCCGAGCACCGCGGCCCGGCCAAGCGCCCGCTCCCCGCTGCCCCCGCCTCCCGCACGGCCGCGGCCGGGCTGCCCCGGGCCCGTGTCCCCCGCACTCACCCGCCGGTGGCTCCTCAGCGCGGCCGCTGCTCCCGCCGGGACAAACGGCAGCGGCCGCAAACAGGAAGCGCCGCCAGCGCGCGCCGTCACTTCCGCCCCGCCGCTTCCGGAAGTTTCTGGAACGGCCCCGCCGGGTGTCCCGTGTGAGCGGAGAGCGCCTCCTGCCGGCGGCCGGAGGCGCTGCGCCGAGCCGAGGGCGGGGCTTCCAGTGGGGGCGGGGCTTCATGAGGGGAGGATACACACACATACACATATACACATACATACACACATACATATACATATACACATACACACACACATATACATATGTATATGTTTGTGCACTGCGTGTTTCAAATGGCAATGGCTGCTCCTGGCTCCACAGAATCACAGCCTGTCTGGTGGGCCTGATGGTGTTCAGTCAAGGGCTGGACTCTCAAATTTTTTTTCCAACCTAACTAACGATGTGATTTTGTGAAGCAATGCCCAAAGCAGCCGAGGGGAAAGGAGAAGGAAAAACAAAAAGAATAATGTTAGGAAACATTCTTTGAGTAGGTGAGTTTGGTTGCTAGAAGTGAGATGGCAAAATTTCTTCCGCTTTTGTGTCTTTACTCTCAAAAACTGGGAGTGCCGAAGAGGACGGACCAGGCTCTGCTCGGTGGTGCCCAGAAGCAGGAGATGAGGCCATGGGCAGAAAATTATGCACTGGGGCTCCACTGAACATGAGGAAGAACTTCTTTACTGTTTTACTTCTTCTACTTTAACTCTTTGCTTTTTTACTGCACTGTTTCAGTGCAGGTGACCGTGCACTGGAGCAGACTGCCCAGAGGAGCTGTGGAGTCTCCCTCACTGGAGATATTCCAGAACCATCTGAACACAGTTCTGTGCTGGATGCTCTGGGGTGACCCTGACTGAGCAGGGAGGCTGGACCAGACTGACCCTTCCAGCCTGACCCATTCTGGGATCCTGTGAGGGGAAATGCAAAAAGTGATGCCTGTGCTGTAGGAAAAGGTGGAAAAACAACAAATTTAAGAAACATTGTTTGAATAGGTGAGTTTGGGTGCTCAAGGTGAGATGACAAAATATTTTCCTCCATGTGTGTTTAAGTTGTAGCCTCAAAAGTTGTAACTCAGCCACACAATTCTTTTGAGGTCAGATTCCTCTCCATGCATGTAGCACCTGGACAGAGCCCTGCACTGGGTGAATGTATTGGAGCATCCTTTGTGCTATATTCAAGTATGTCGTCTTCTGAGTGCCATGGCTTGAGAGCAAATTATAGGGCACCAAAGTTATTATTCTATTTTTAAAATGTGGATTTTATCCATGCTTTAAATTGCTGTAAATTTCTATTTCTTGCCCCTTATTTAAAAAATGGAAGCATTAATTTATAGACCACCAAAGTGAAGTTAGAGAGTTTCCACACCTGAAATGTATGCTTCCCAAATAAAGTCAATTAAAAGGCTAGTCATTATTTAGGAAGTGTTTGTGTGGGAGTGGGAGTTCAAAAAGACAAAAGCCGGCTTGGAATAAAGCAGAGGAAAACCTAAAACAAATCAGCAGGACAAGTAGTAGGACAACCCTAAGTATAGGCTTGGGGAAATGCAAGCTTCAAAAGAAATATTGTTGATTGTTGATGCCAAGTTGTGGTCGTGGAAACAATTCTTCAAAATTAGAGCAGAGAGACACCTCACTCCATCATTAGTTTCTCATCAGCAAGCAGCTGTGAAGTCCAAGTTGTTGGTCCACTTGGAAAGAAAAAACCTGAGGGATTAGCAGGTTAGACTGGCTCTTCCTAAGGGGTGAGGTTCAGACCTCAGGATTCACAGCCTGGCAAAGGCAGCTCAGTACTGTGAGGTGTGGGAGGAGACCATATAAAATGTTGATTTAATCCTTTAAACGTTTCTTGATGTGGAAATAAAGGTTTTTCCCCAACCTTTCATAACTGATTACAGGGGAGAAAAAAAGTGAAGAGTCCTAAAACCTGAGCTGCAGTAAACAAGGCAGAAGTTGCACGAGACAGCTTCTTCGCTTTAATAATTTAAAGAGCAGATTTTATATTTACAGTTAAGATATGATGGATGCCAACCATAAAACTTTCTGTTTATCCAAGCAAGCAGAACCTGGCAAAGAAGCATGATTCCATATGGAACTAGAGGGCTGGAATGAAAACCCTGCCTGCATCAATGCAACCAGGACTATGGCTTCTCTAACACAATTGTTATCACTACATTAATCTGCCCAGAGATTTTCTAACACTGTTCTGACTCTAGACAGCACAGCCCTGCTTTAGCATCCTTCAGATATAGGAATAATATTTGGGAAGGCTTAGAGACCAATTTTGCCTTTACAGAAAGGCAGGTATGAGGAGGTAAAGTGCCTGCTCATAGCTGAGGGCAGGGCAGTTTGAAAGCAAAACACTGAGAATGTAAATAAATGTTTCCTAACAATGTTATAGATGAAAACAAAAGATTGTGTAGTTATTTTTTTTAAAAATCAAAAATACATTTTAATTGGTTTATGCTTGTTTCTGAAGAAGATATGAAGACATTTCCCAAGACTTTGCAGAACGGGCAGTTTACAGAGCCACCAGTTACAAATATCATTTATTAGGGCACCTCTTTTTTTTTAACTTACAATCTTTGCTAGCTCAGATTATCTCTAATGCTGAACAATAACAAGAATTATTTATTTTTTAAAAGTTTGCTCAAATTGTGCACATGATAGTTAATTTTCTGTTCTCTGTTACAGGGAAAAGCAGGTGATTTCAATTAAAATAGCACATGGCAAGCCCCACCAGAAGAGCTACTGCAGGGGGTACTGAAGTGTATCTATGATATTTTATTAAAAATCCTTTCCTAGGATTTTTTCCCTCCTGAGGAGCAGGAAAGAAATGTAAACAACAACTATCTGCTGCTGTGGAATGCATCTTCCATTGGTCCATGTGGATTGTTTTCCATTGATCACCAATCACAGCCACCTGTGCCGAGGCTGTGAGCAGTCACAGGATTTTTGTTATGCATTCTATTCTATTCCTGTTCTTTGTAGCCTTCTGATGATCTTTTCTCTCTGTTCTTTCAGTATAATGTAGTATTTTAGTAAAATAGATAAGATAATAAATCAGCCTTCTGAGAAACACGGAGTGAAGGCTCGTGTCTCCACACAGGGGGTGTTCACCTCAGCACTGAAGCACATACATCCAGGAGTGCCCTGTTGAACTTCATGTGGTGCCCTCTGATTTGTCTGGGTCTCTGCAGGGCCTCTCTTCCCTCAAGGCAGTCAGCAGCTCCTCCCAATTTAGCGTCCTTGGCAAACTCAGTTAGTATCCCTTCCAGTCCTGCATCCCAGTCGTTTATGAGGACGTTGAAGAGCACAGGGTGAGGCCCTGTGGAAGCCCACTAGGGACAGGACACCAGCCTGGTGTAACCCCATGCACTGTAACCCCTCGTGCCGACCCGTGAGCCCGGTGCTCACCCGTCCCGTGGTGTGTTTATCCAGCTGTGTGCTGCACATTTTGTCCACACGGATCCTGGGAGAGACAGTATTGAAAGTTTTACTGAAATCCAAAAGGATTACATAACTGGCTCATTAACATATTTCATTAGTTTATTTATAGGACGGATAAAACAGAAACGTTTTCGATTCAGAAAACCTTCAAAGGTATTTGCAAAAGTATGAAGTCGAAATGTCCTGTGTTTTTATGGCTTGCTGCTTGCAGCAGCAGCCTGGAGTACTGTGTGAAGGGGCATTAAATCTGATGTTGCTGGCAGAGCATCAACATTCCAATAACAAAAGAAGGTCTGGTGGGTCTGTTAAAGCTGGTGTCAGAGATCCAGGCTGATATCCAAGTGCTGAGTCATTGAGTCACAATAAATGCTGCTATCAAAGAATCTCAATTGTTTAAGAACTTTCAACTCTCCTCTGGGAACATGTGGGAAAGGTCTGGTCACTTCAGCCAACTTCAGCTGCCTCAAACATCCACTTTGAGGCCATTGACTGTGAAGAGAGAGGAGAGGGCACCTCTAGAGCACAGTTCATCCCATCCTCTTTGGAGAGGGTGGAATTTTAGTTTTGTGTTTCAGTACAGAAGGAACCTCCTGCCAGAGCTCTGTCCTGGAGCTGCCTTTTCTCCCCAAGTGCCTTGCAGCCACGTCACAGATGCCTGAAGTTCAGTGAGTGAATTCAGGCCTAACTGGTAGCTATAACCTAATGATGGAAATCATGTGGCAGCATTCCAGGAGGTATTGGCAAATCACGTAGTTCCCAGATTCTTTTTTTAAACCATCTTTTATGATTTATGGAGGTCAATTACATAAAGCCCATCAGAACACAAGAAATGCTTAAAAATGCTGCATTAGAGAGACATGAATATTAATCCTCCTGAGGTGGTAATGGCTGTAGCCTTCCCAACCTGCTGCTCTGCCCTGCTGCCTTAATGCAACCCGTTTTTCTATTTACAGATTTACAGATTCTCTTTTTGGTGTTAACAAAGAATATGAGCATATGTATCAAAGACTGTTCTCACGTCATCTAATTATAGTACTGCTGGCAAAGTAATTCTGGAAAGTGCCACTTAATTAAATATAAGCATTAACTTTTTGCTGATAGTTTATCAGAAACAATTAGACTTGAAATATGGGGAAGACACCTAGAGTTTAAAACTTCCAGTAGAAGCATTAAAAGAAGCACAAAATAACCTATTTTCCCTTGCATTCTCCAGTGTTTTCCTGTGGAGCACAATGTCATTTTTCATTGGTACAGTGTGTCTTAGGTAATCTAGAGGCTGCAAGTTTATCTGGATTCCTCTTTGTGTGCAAAAGCTTGAGCTAAGTGGATGCTTTTGAAAGTAGTTAAACCACTTCAACATACTTGATGTTTTTGCCAATTCCTCCTGAAATATCAGATGTATTTTGCTGATTATTTGGGGTCTGCACAGAACAACCCAGCAACTATTGGGGCAGTCAGATGATCTCACAGCTTATGCCAAGTGCTTATTCTTTGCAAGGACAGCTTGCTCAGCATTTATGTTCATTAACTTGAATCAGGGATATGCTTTTTTGTCCATGTGACAATGTGAAATATTAGTTAATTAGTAATTTTTCATCAACAGCCAGATAGGTCTACCAGACAATTGTACCTGAAGTATCTCTGCAGAACTTTGAGCCCTGCTGCTTTCTGCCTGAAAAGTGAAGAGGGGAAAAAAGAAAAACAGAGCCGTAACGAAAATAATTCTTGAGGGCTAAAAGAAACAATTCCTTCAGAAGGTTTGTTTGACAACATACAGCCAAACTACATAGCAACTGAGGAGAGATGCTTTTCCCAGGTCTAACATTTGGGCAAGCAGCAGTAGCAGGAGGAGCTGAAATAACACCATCTGGTGAATGCCTGTTTCTTTCTTCAGCAATCAAGAACTATGTGTAACTATAAACAAGGAATAAAATAGAAATAATGCAAAACTACTTTTCAGTTAAATGTTACACAGAATGAACAAACAGCTGCTCTGGGAATGCAGAAAAGAATGATGTTAAATATAGTAGGAAATTTGAGCACGCTGCTCCTATAAATACATGAACCAACTTTGCAAACAGAATGTATGATTGTGGACAGGGAAGCTTAGCCCCAGACTGGAGAGAACTATTCTGGCAATAAATGTAGCAACGATTTAACCATCACACAAGAAGAGCTCATTCCCAGATTTCAGTGTGAAATCAAGCTGCAGGACTTCTGTGCATGCCTTTTTGTCCCATTTTTTGCCAGTCAGAATTCCCATTCCCAGAATTTCCCCAAATTCTCCTGTCTGACTGTCTGATGTGCTTTGCTTAATTCTGGGCTACTCAGCCTTCAGAAGGCAGTCAAAATACAGGAGTTTGCACAAGAGGTTGCACTTGAGTGTTTGATACTGTTGGTGGCAAAAGCAAATCTACATTTAGGTGATTTAGCATTAGTCCTATGGTTTTTATAGAAGCAAATATACATTTAGCATTAGTCCTATGGTTTTTATATCAACGTTTAGCATCCTATCTATAAAAATCTGTAAAAATAATTCTGAGCTCAGTTTTTACCAAGTCTGCTATTTTACATTGATAAGAGATTTGCAAAATCCTCGAAAAGTCAAAGCAGCACTGGAAGTTGAAAGAGCAAAGCCACAAAATCTTAAATCCGACCTTACCTGGTAAATGCCACTGATTAACAACCACAGGAATGCGACAAGAGGTTTACTGTCACTTAACTCAGTCCCCAGTCACACCAAACTCCACAGAAGATATTTTGAAGATGCTGATGGGGTCACTAACAAGCAAGGCAGAGACAAAGATGATTAAGGTTTTGGAGGCTGTGTCATATGAGGAGAGGCTGAGAGAGCTGATGTTCAGCATGGAGAAGGCTCAGATTCCTTAGTACTGCCCCACAGGACAAGATACAATGGCACAAACTGGAATACAAGAAATATGTTTGAACCTGATTTAAAAAGTTTTATTGTGAAGTTAATGGAACACTTAAAACAGGTTGCCCAGAGAAATTGTGGATTCTCCATCCAGTAAGACATTGAGAACTCCACAGGTGAAGGTCTATGCCCAACCTGCTGTAGGTGATCCTGCTTTGAGCTGGGGGTTGGAGTAGGGGATCTCCAGACATCCCTCCTGACTTCAGCTATTCTGTGTTCTCTCTAATGCATTCAGCTTGTGTAACTTCATGATCACTTCTTGCCTTGTTTTGTCTCTCTTCACACATGAGAAATTTAATGCCCTTTCCAGACTACCGGATACATACTGAAAAACAGGTCAGGCACATGGGCATTTGTGTTTTTATTAATGTTACAAATTAGGAAATGCCCTACAAGAGGAGTTTTCTGTAGTTTTATGTTTACCACATTTTTAGTAGCAGGTAAGCTGAAGCCTATATGCTGCTATTTCTAAACATTTAAAAATAAATATCCACAATACCAACTTTATAAAGTAGAACTAAAAGTGTATTTAGCAATGAAAATAATAAATAAGCAAAGGAAAGCAGGTAAGTAATTATCAAAGGAGATAAAAACTAAATTGCACCTTCAAAGGAGCCCACATGTGCTAGAATTCCAGAAGAAGCTGAAAGAGAAATCTTAGTGTGTGCTGACAGAGTAGCTTTCTTCACTACCAGTTACAGCTTCTCAGACTTCTATCCATGGAGTTTTATTCTTTCCAAAGATTCTGAAGACGTTTTCACAAAGCAGAGCAAGTGCATGGTTTGAAAGACACCCTGAAACAAAGGGAACCATCAGAGCTGCAGCTTCCTTGGCAGAGTGGGAAATCACAGCCCAAAAGCTGAAGGTAGGAACCATCCCAAAGCAGAACCACAGGAATGTTTAGGTTGGAAAACAGCGGTGACTGAGTCCAGCCATTAACCCAGCACTGCCAACCCCACCACTGAACCAAGTCCCTCAGTGACACATCTCCAGGAATTTTAAATTCCTCTATGAATGGTGACTCCATCACTGCCATGGGCAGCCAGTTCCAACCATACTACCTTCAAGAGCAACAAGCAGTTAGTATTAGATTTTTTTAGAACCTATTCAGTACCATCAGTTTTTAACAAGAGAATACCCAATTTACTGCAAAAATTGAAAGAGTGTTTCTGCAGAGTTTCAAGAAAACTCAAATTATTTTATTCAGAAAAGCAGAAGTCAATAAAAATATAGATATCCTGATCAGTCTTACAGACCATCTTCATTTCTTCTCTCCTTCACTGACAGGCAAAAGCATAATGAAAAAAAGAAGTAACAAGCATTTATATCACAAACCATTATTAACACAGATTCATGTATATGAACAAGCATTACAGGTCCAAAAAACATTCCCATTTGTTTCTGTGCTGTAGTGGTTTCAGTGGTGGTAAGAATATGTGCTGTCTCACTGGTATTTAACTAATAGTTTTTGGTAGAAACTGAAATGTATGAACTCAGTGCACTCGGTGTTGTGTCTGAATTCCAAACCCCTTTATAGGATTAAATGAGGATGTTTGTGCTATATTACTCACGTGATGCCAAAAAAAAAGTCAACATTGCTACTAATAGCATCAGGAAGCTCATTTTTACTATTCTTATGGAGCACCTCCCAAAAAATACCTGAAGATATCCTCCCCATTCAAATCAAACTTCTATCAGCTAAGTGTTTATGCATGGAACGGAAGATAATCTTTCCTCTTTTGAGGATATATAAATGTACCCTAGAAATCAGTTTTGTAACATGTATACAAGGCTGGCTTTCAGGACCATGATGGAAGACAACAGAGATTAAAGACAAGGCCAATTACTCCTGGTTTAGTTTGCTGTGCTTTATTTTTTATTTTTTTTTTATCCATCTAATAGTACTGAACCCCCATCTGGAAAAACTCTCATTGGAAGAAAGAGACCAAGTGCTAGTTTTATTTCTTTATTCCATTTTTAACGCCTTTGAACTTTGTAGAGATGAAAAATTTGTGAACTCTTCTATCATACAGCCCTTGACAAAAATGTTTGTAGAACAGGTTATGAAATTACAAGCCCAAACTTACTTGAAAACAAAAACCAATCAGAAAATGCTTGCTTTTTCAAAAAGCAAGTACTGAACTAGGAGGAAGAAACACTGTAGTACAGAAACTTACTTTATGGAAGGGTTGTCTTGTACAGAAACCAACCCCAAACTCATAATTATTACTGCTATAATTCTGATGATCAAATCCACAATAAAATTGCAGGTTACTTGCATGCAGAGTGTTCCTGCCTCTGCCTACCTAAACCCTGGGAGCATCAGCACTGGGGGACAGCTTGCTCTTCTTTTCAATACCAGAAAATCCAGTTTTACACAAACAGTTCTTGCTATGGAAGTGCTACAAGACATCATTTCAACCCCCTTGCTCCTCAGGACATGACTGTTACCTCTCACACCTTTACCTCCCATTCCTTAAAATGTCCAGCAATAGATCATTGGAAAGCAGGGACTCGTGCTCCATCCTGCCTGTCTGAGAACAGCTGGCAGAGCTGGAAGCACTGGTTGTAAGGGAAAGCCCCAGTCTCCTCTCACTGCAGCCTGGATTCTGAAGGTGGTGGAGCTGCACAGCCCTGCAGCCTGTGCACAGTGAAATACAAGTGCCTGCCTGTGCCAGTGTCACACTTCACGTGCAGGACACACAAACATCACCGAGTGCTGCAGAACAAAGACATAAAACATCAGAGTACTGCCAGCAAACTCAGGTTCTCCCCTGAAGGTTTCTGCAGCTCTGTGATGGCTGCAAGTACAGCTCTGTGCAAGTCACACTTCCCCAGCCTACCCTCCCTGTGGCACCCGCTGCTCTCCTGGCCACAGACAGCAATAGTGGGCACTGGCTCCTTTTCAAAAGCACTAAGTGGACAGTACCAGTCACCAGTACTTGGCATGACTCCAACACAATCTTCAAAATACAAATATTTAATAGAAAAATTTAATTTAATTTTACAAAATACAGATACAACACTACTCAATGTAGCAAAATAATGGAATTGAAAAATAATTTCAAAATATTTAAAGCATTAGGTTCTAAAATAAATAACGCTATCTAAAAGAAGTGTTCGGGTTTTGCAATTAGGAGGAGGCAGTTTCACTATTACTGATCTCTTTGACTTCTTTACAAGTTTCATAATTTATGTAGAAAAATATACAAGAAAAGAATTTGGGATAAAGAATAGGTTGAGCATGTAACAATTAACATAAATAAAAAGCCTAAAGCAAAACCAAAAAGAAAACCAATCATTTTATTTCTGTACATCAAGACTACAAATAGTATTTTAACACTTCATTTATTACCCAAATTAAGAAATTATACATTTTTATATGGTTACTAGTAAACATCTTAAAACCACTCAGTTTCCCCACATTTAAAAGGATATTGCTGGTTACTGCTTATTAAATAGGAAATCCAGCACAGTTTCCAGTAACAGCAAAATTTTTTTTTGCATAAGAGATGAATACAAATTTGATTGTAATTTTTCATGATTTAAAATATAAAAGTAAAGTTCAGAGGGATGAACTGATGAATCTTACAGTCTGAACTATAATTCCTTTTCTAAACTCACTGGAGTTTGCATACGAAACCCTAAGATGTGCCTACTATTAGAGGATCAGCTCCTTCCATGAGAGCAATTTTCTCCCCAGATATCAAATTACATTAAGCAGCATATTCCCACTTACTTTTCTCAGCAGAAATACTGCAGGGAAATGGATATAAAAGCTGTTTAATCACAAAAAAAAGTTAATTTGTTTAGTGTCTACGGCACAGATATGGCATTTAAGATGGAAAGAAATGATAGGGAAAAGGAATGTGAACACCACAGGCTTCAAATATAAAAGATAAAGCCTGATAACTTTGGTTCAAATAACTTTAATAATTATTACATGTATATTTTTCCAAAGTGGTGATTTCTATATGTACTGTATGCAATAGGAGACTGATTCATTTAAAACCAACCAACCAACCAACAAACCTGTACAGGCACAAAAGACAGAAACAGGACAGAGAAAACCTGGAAAGTCACATCCATTCAGAACAGTGTCCAATTAACAATGATGCAGCAAAGGTTGAACTTAATGCAAATCCGTTTTCTTCAAAGTGTTTCAGAAAGCACAAATGGAATATTACACCCATTTCATCTCAGTGTCTACCATCTTGAGGGAAGATAGTTTGAAACAAAATCAGTTCTGCAACAACTGTCATAGAATCATGGACTATGCTGAGTTGGAAGGGGTCAATCAGGATCATCCATCCAGTCCAATTCCTGGTCCTGCACAGGACACCCCAAGAGTCACAACAAGCATCTGGGAGCATTGTTCAAGCACTTCTTGAACTCTGGCAGACTCAGGGCTGTGAGCAGTCCTGGGGAGCCTGTTCCAGAGCCCAGCCACCCTCTGGGTGAGAAACCATTTCATGATACCCAAACTGAACCTTCCCCAGTCCAGTTCCATGCTGTTTCCTCAGGTCTCATCACTGTCACCACAGAGCACAGATCAGTGCCTGCCTCTCCTCTTCCCTTCACGAGGAATTGTAACTGCAGTGAGATCTCCCCTCAGTCTCGTCCAGGCTGAACAGACCAAGGGACCTCAGACATTCCTCACACAGCTTCCCCTCCAGGCCTTTCACCACCCTCATGGCCTCCTCTCGATGCTCTCTAATAGCTCAGTGTCTTCTTTATATTGTGGCACCAAAAACTGTCCCCAGCACTCGAGGTGAGGCTGCCCCAGTGCACAGCAGAGGGAACAATCCCCTCCCTTGCCCAGCTGGCCATGCTGTGCCTGATGCCCCCAGGACAGGGCTGGCCCTCCTGGCTGCCAGGGCACTGCTGACTCGTGTTCAACATGCCATCAACCAGGACGCCCAGGTCCTTTTCCACAGCTGCTCTCCAGCCTCTCATTCCCCAGTCTGTCCACACAGCCAGGCCTACCCTGTCCCAGGTGCAGAACCCAGCACTTGCCCTGGCTGAATTTCATATGGTTGGTGATTGCCCATCTCTCTATGATTTGTAAACAACTCTACAATATAACTTACAATGTTAGCTTGTCAGAAACGAGCATTCCCATCCTCTCAGTTCTGGGATATCTGCAAACATCTGCTTGCCTTCCTTCTATAAGATTCATTACATGATGTTAGCCCTGTCTCATCCCAACGCACCGCACAGTACACAACTTTATTGCCAGTTTGCAAAATTATTTATGTTTGAACAGCACAAAGCCAAAGCTTCATCTTTGGTTAATTTCACTGAGATGTCACTGTTCTTTAAATGTGCTCTTTCTTCACACAAACACAGAAATCAGCCACGCTGCACACAGCATTCATTGTTTTGAGTCATAAAGCAGTGTCAACGCAATATTCAGTAATGGAAGCTATCTAAGAAATCGTGTTTAGAAATGAAACCTATTTGAGGGCATTTGGTAAGACACAAGAGCTGCAGAAATGTAGACAGAATTCCCTTAAAACTGCTTGGGTAGGGGTGCTGCTTATAGAGTAGGCACTGGTTCTTTCTTCTGCAGGTCATCCACACAAGCATGGGTTGGACTCAGCTGAGTTCAAATCCAGCAGCACATTCAATGGCGTAGAGGAGCTTGCTTCGCATCAGGTTCTCGTCATAAAACTCAGGAAGCTTCAGCAAGTTCATGCAGGTACTGGCAGTAGGCAGCCTGTCTAAATCAGATCCTCCGTTGTGAATGCAAAATGCAGGATATAACTCCTGAAAGATGCAACCCAAAACAAAAAACAACCACATATCAAAAAATGTATACAAGCCAAAATTACCCTGTAGCAGATGGCACACATTTCTACAAAGTAAATCACTAGATGAAAACCTGTCACAATGACACTCAAGTGGGATTTCTTTCATTCCTCATACCACGAAAACCACTCTTGAATTGTGTAGTGCCTCCCTCTGCCTTGTCCCAACAAGATTCACTCATTTGGAATACACGAAGCAATTTATGTGATTCTAAGGAAAACACAATGACTTGTTATTGTTCATACAGTCTATGGTACAAATTTACAGTGCTACACAAATATCATATCAATGTGCATAATGAGTCTGTAACGATAAAAACTTGTCAAACCCTGATTATTATTTGATGTGTTAACTACTGAGCTGAAGAACACAATTTAAAGCCATTTTGTATGTAGTATTTAATTGGTTTAATAATATCCCATTTATCGTCTTCCAAAAAGTAGTATAGTGAAAAATATATTTATTTTTTACCTCCAAATCACTGCTTTTGCTGGCAAGACAGTATTCATTTGATCAAAGGCTTGCCTGAGGTTAAAAAGTTCTGATTTTAGAAACTGGAAAAAAATTCCAGCTTCAAAGGCAAAAGGTCAATGAGATTCTAAGCTAAATTATTGTTCAAATGGAGGCCTTAAAAGTATTTCATGGCTAAAATGTTGCAATTTTAGTGTTCCTTTCAAAATGCTAATTGAATTCCCCTACTCTAGCTTTAAAAATGGAAAAATGGAGTTCTAAATTGAAATGTCATGCCAAGGGCACCATTTGTTGCATAATTAAATGCTGTACAACGGGAAACTGCAATAGTTTGGAAGGGAAAAGTATCATCAATTTATTATGTGACCTGATTGGAACTTAACAATTTTCAACCACACTTTAATGATTTTTTTTTTAAATCTGTAACAATCACATTTATTAAACTTATTAAACTTTAATTAGCTTTAGTAAATGTTATTCTGAACCTGACTCTGGCAAGGAAAGTTGAACATTTTTAAATGATGCAAAGCTAGACTATGTTATCTATAAGCTATGACTGTCAAGACGTTTCCTAATCTTAAATCAACATGCACTGACTTACAGAAAACATGCTGGTCCCACAATACAATGCATCCATAGAAAACTTCAGAGTGAGAACCAGAAATTGTGCTTCTCTCAGAAAAATACAGCACACACACAAAGTGCAAACAGATTTTGAAGATGGTTTGTCTTCATGTCTCCCACCAACATAAACACGTTCTCATGCTTACTTGGCTGGTAATACTCAGCACTCCTGTGGCTTCACACTCTGCACCTTCCAAGCTCAAACAATGCACAGTCTTGGGCTAGCAACACATTCCTGCTGATGACAATACCAGTCACCTACTGCCTTTCCTGGCAGACACTTCCTGGCCACCCTGGTTTGGGGGTAAATCCCTGTTCACAGGTCCTGCTGCAGCCACCACGGCCGAGGCTGCGCTCAGAGCTGCCCAGCAGAGCAGCTCTAATGCCTTTTCCTCTTTCCTCTGCCAACACTGCTGCATGGGGCTGAGCATGCAAGCCCCTTGTGCAGTGAATTCGTCTTTTAACTTACTGCTTTCTTGCTGAACATCTGGTGACTAATTTGCTTCCATTTTTTCCTAGCCATGTCTGCTACAGGCAGTTTGTGGCCCATCTCCCAAGTGAACACACAAAGTGCAGCTTTCCACATTTAGCTTTTCTTTCCATTGTGTCACTGTCAGCTCTAATATTTTTAGACTTTTGATTCACTTCCTCCATCTCTTCAAATGTCACACTGGATACCTCAAAGCTGGGTACCTACATCTGCATTTCCTCCTCTCTCCTTGTAATTAAAGGAGATGACAACAAATGGGAACTCCTGCTTACTTGTTTCCCCAGCTGTTCCTCAATTCTCCCTTCCTCATGTGACTGATGTGCACTGTTCTATCTTGGTCTCATCCTGGAGTTTTCCAATTGCTCTTCCTGCTATCCTGTAAAATCCTTTTGACTGCTAAAGTACTGTACAGTGATACCTGCATGGGGGTTTAGGAGAAAAGCCTGCAGAATTTTAAGTAAGGAGTCACATAAATCAATACACAAATACCTGAGACAGGATTCATGTGATTCAACAGCCATGTCCATTGTCTCCATATCCATATCTTTGGACACTCTTTACTGTTAAAGGGATCTGGCTAGCATGTTTTGGGGAGTCTGAGACATGACTCATTTCATCTTGAAGCTGACACACAGAACAGTCAAACCAATTACCAACTGAAAGTACCACTTCCAATCCTAGATGTCTATAAAAGGAGTGTAGCTGAGCTACAGACTACAGACACTGAAGATGGAGGATGCTGCCCATCCATCCACATGGTAACACCACCACACAGCACTGTATGTTCCCACATTTTAGAGGAAATGATGTGATGGCTGGTTCTTAGCCAAAATTTTGAAGTCCACTGAAATTCACAGGTAGAACAACCCCAGAATTTAGTTTCAAAATGTCTTCACCTTGCCTTGGCCTCTCTTTAGTTTTATCAGCAATACAGCAGATTTTGATACTTAAGCTTCCCTGTAAATAGCAATTTGGAGACTGCAGCTAAATACTTTGCTGCTAAGGGTAATGAGCTGTGAGCTACAAGCAGATAAATGGCAATTAGAAGAACAGAAAATACATTGTCCTGCTTCAAATGGTTAATTTAAGAGAATCAGATTTAATAACTGCTTGTATATCCTAACTTCTCTTTTGCCTGACTTGGAAGACACTAGGCTTAACTCAACCTATTGCTTGAAACTGGTAGCAAAATTCTCCTGCACAACATAAAACAGCAGCAAGGACCTTCCACCACATGCAGCAAGTGCTCTAATCAGTGATCTGCAGGCTTATCAAATTTCACAGTTAAAACAGAAAGCAACAGAACACTTCATTACATATTTTAAAACTGTACTTATTATACATGCAAATGCAAACACTGAAGCTGTTTCTGTAGTCATGGACAAGTATTCTCAAATTGTAGATGCCTAGACAAGAAAAACTGGGACCAACATCTGCAGCATTTCTCAAAGCTTGCCAGGAAGTCAGGGGACATACCTTAAACCCCAGAAGAGGTGGTCGAGAACAGCTCGTTACAAATTTGAGTAGTTTGCGTTTCTCTTCATCAGTGAAGCTTTCTACAACCCTCCAAAATATTTTAATTACAGGATGGTCTGCTGTGTAGCCACCTGCAATGAGATTTAAATTATTTACAGCTAGACTAGTTTTATGTAAGAAATAAATTCCTCAGAAAACCTAGCATCAGTCTTGAAGGTTTGGGGAATATATTATAGCCAGCAGGCTTGTACTGCTAACTTCCAGTACCTACAGATCTGTCATCACTGCAATTTCAGTTTCATTGCTTACCTATGGCTGCTGTATCCCTCAGCTTCTTAAATGCAGTTTTCTTCACTGAAGCCTATTTTAAATTTATTTTATTTAGTTTAGTATTTAGCTAGTAACTTCAGATTATTACCTTTCACTCCAAGAGTGTGCAAAATCTGCAAGACCCAGAATGTTACCGAATGAATCCGCTTACCCTGAGGTAAGCCCAGATGTGAACTGATGATTTGGTAGATACTTTTTGATTACATTCATGATAAATGCAGGGGACAAATGAATTAATGTACCTTGCATTTTTCACAAGGAAAATATATGATCTCTCTTCAGACTGTCTGAGAAATGGTAAGTATCTAAATGAGGTAGTAGAAACTACTATCCCAAAGTAATTTGCAGACTTATTTTCAGAACAATCAGACACAATCAGTGATTAATTTTAATTTAGAAAAGAAACACCCTCAACTCATCTGGCTATAAACTTGCATTTAAGCATGTGAAAAAAATAAACTGTGTATCTCAATTCCCCACCATTTCATAAAACTGGTCTGTAATTTTAGCCAATTTTCTGAATTTGGCCAAAGGTAACAAGAATGACCCTGCAACTTTTTCTTAAAAGGTAGAATGAAAAGCAAGTTCAGTTATTCCCAAGTCAACTATAACAGATTTTTTTACTTAAGTAAAATATGCTTACCTGAATAGTTTGTGAAAGATTTGAGGTCATCCAAACTAATAGGAACTTGTGCACCAGAAGTCAGAACCTAACGGTAAAGGAAATTAGAGCGTTACATTAGAGGCAGAAATCAGCAATTCTTTCTGTTGAGAGCAGTTGTTTTGTGCAGCTCTAAGCACAAGTACCTGTATTTCCTGCTGATCAAACATGCGGAGCCACTCGAGGTTCACCACGTTGGCCAGCCCCTGGCGGAAGGCCAGGCAGTGCTGCCGGATCTGTTTGTTCAGCCTGTAGTCCGCCACCAGGTGGATGTACGCGATCCGGTTGGCGCTGGTGACGGGAATGTCCTTTCCACCCGGCTTCAGCTCAACCACCTACAAACACAGCCATTCTCGTCACCTGGGAAACTGCACTTCTGTGCCCTAAGTGTGAAATGGGGCTGCAAAACATTCTAGTCAGTGATGTATGGCTAGAATACACTCGGGAATGTTCACCTCAAAGGAAGACAGAAGATTAGGAGGAGTTACAAAGGCAGGTCTTTCCTCTGGTTATGTCTAAGAGCACGCTCTGTGGACCCAGACCTCCAGCTGCCAATGCAGCTCATCACACAGCCCCATGGTTTATCATGAGAAAGCTGGATTAGGCATGCTCTGCTTGACTGGCTGGGCTCCTCCCTAACTGCTGGTGAATTCTGCAGAGTCACGTTATGGTAAAAGCAACGTCCACTGAGTCAAAATTCAACGTCTGACATAAGCCTGATTTGCAGAATGCTCAGCATTCATAATTCATACTGTGGAAAATGTACTGTTGTACATACTCAGTATATTCACTGAAAGTAAAAAAAACAATCAAACAAATTAACCCTACGTTTTGTTTTTCTATTGGGAAGCTCAACTTTTGTCTCTTCAAGTACACCAAGGTACCTCTCTTTAAAGAAAATCCCCAAAACTAAAGACACTGTACTTGCATTAAGATATAAACAAGGTTCAAAGACAGCTGTAATTAGAACACTATAGGCCTTCACATATTTTACTCTTTACTACATGAGGTTCATTTAGCTAAGCAGCAGCCCAACTGGAAGGTATTATTAGAACTTAAGAGTAGAATGAAAAAAAACTGAAAAGCCAAAATACCATCACCTTCTGACCTCTTCCAAAAACTGTTGGTTTTTTCCTACACTCTGGAGTCAGCAATTTCTTCATTTAAACCAACAGTGCACTTCAGTATGTGGTAATAATAGCATCTTTAGAGCACAGAGAATTAAACACATGAATAGCTGCTTTTCTAACATGCTACCTAATAACGTTCATGTACTAAGCAAAACGTGCAAAATGGTATGATTAAAAAGTCACAGAGCTTTTGAGCATTCAGGTTTTTTCTTGATTCATAGCTCTTTAAGGCAAAAGAAACCATTAAGATCTGTGAATTCTGACCTCCCAGATGACACAGGCCAGAGGATTCTGTCTAGATTCCTGTACTTAACTCCATAAATCCACAGATGAGTTACAGCACATTTCTAGAGATGTGCAATCCTGTGATGGTGTATCTTTCACTTTCTTTGATAAGCTACCACAACCTGAATTACAGTAGGTGTTAAAAATATGTCTTACTTTCCACTTTAATCCTTCAACTGCAAGCTTCTAGCTTTTGTTAGTTCCTACAGTAAAAAAACCTCATCAGTACTCCACCATGTCTGTGTGCAGGTACTGATGATGCTTAAACCCTACTCCTGCAAGAATTAAGCAAAAGGAAGGTGTCAGTGTAAGTGACACCATTTCACACCCTGTACATATCTTGTTCCCTTCCCCAAGATCCAGGGACACAAGAGCCAGGAGGGCTCTCTCTGGGATCCACCCATGGCAGCACCTGGCCTGGGACACAGCCAGGGATCGTTTCCAGAGGGCACAGGCCAGTGCTGGGGCCACTGGCTGGCCTGAGGGTATTTTTACTGGTAAAATCCACATGGAGTATTAATAGAAGTGTGGGACATGTCCCATACCATAGTGGAAACAGCTGATGAGAAGGGGTCCCTGCACTGCTGAGCTCTCTGTGTTTCATCCACTGTAATAATTTTACTACTGTTGCTGAACAGTTAATCATCAGATGAATCCAATTATTGACAAGAAACATTCTAATTTTCACTTCAAATCCAACAGGTAAAGTTTGTTCATACCTACTGTCCTTATTTCAGTGTTGAAGAGCTTAATCAGCTCCTTCCTTGCTCCTCAAATATATCCATGATGTATTACTTAAGGGCAGCAACTTAATCTTCCCAGAAACTTTTACATGGAAGTAAAGCCAGTTTTTTTAACTTCCTCCTATAAAATACCTTTCACAAAGCCTAACAAGACCAGAAAGCTTTCTCTTCTTCAATTCTTGTCCTCTTTAGCTTTACAAGATCAGAGCAACCAGTGACGTTCCACATGACAGATCAGTGTTGTGACCTCAATATTACCAACACTTCACTATCTGCCCACTTAAAAACCTTCTCTACTTGTTTTGCAGAATCCCTTGGGTTTTTGACACCATTCAATACAATCCCTCTCTCTGAGGTATGGACACACTGAATTAGGTCATATTAAAATGCATTAAAGCATATTTGTATCACCTAACTCATCAAGCATCTCTTAAGAATACAGACACCAGCAATACACTAACAGGTATCACTCCATGTGCACACAACAATTTCTGTGAGCTCAGTATTTACACTAAAAGATGCTTGAACTGTCCTCCTTCCTAAAATAGCCAAAGGGAACTACTGGCAGGGTGTTCTAGAAAACTTCTGTATTTTAAGATTCATCCCAGCACTAGGTGAAGTATAATGTCTGACCTTCCCTGCAGGCCAGCAAACAGAAATCGGGACACAGATTAATTTACATTTGTATTGTAAGAGCACTGGCTCCACAGTACTCTAGGGATGTCAGGAAAGCTGTATTCATTCCATAATAAAAAGCTACTCTCTCCCCATAAAGTTCTTCCTTCAAAACAAAAAAAAAAAAAAAAAAAGGTGTTGCACTCTTTCTGACTGCTATTTTTAGAAAACAGGACAAAGTTGTTTCGTTTTGGTTTTTTTAAATCTTATTATTCCTTTCATTTTTATATTTTTAAGTAGCAAATCTTGATTTCTGATGCAGCAACATTTCTGTAGGTCCCCTTCCTTCCCAGAGCTCTGCACTGCCACAAGTACAGGCACAGCACTCAGTTAAGGGCATTTCCTGGGGTTTTCCAGAGACCCAGTTATCCATTTTCAGAGTTTGTCAGTGTGAGTTTAATTTCACCACTGCTGTGTTAAAGGATCATCCAAGATCAGAACAAAAGGGGTAACAGAACACAAATAACAAATATATTATTCCAAAAAGGCTAAGAAGGATGTAAAACAGAAACCAGTAACACTTGGTAAACATTAAAGTAAAGGCAGATGGACCCAGTGTTTTCATGGCATTAAAGGAAATATAGTAGAATTCCCACTTAATTCTAAAAGTCAGGAATGATTGTTGAAGAGTTCCTTTTCATAAAGGCCATAGCACATCTTAATAGATCTTAAACACTTTATCAGCTTCATTTTTATTTTATCTATCCAGTCTTGGCCACTAGATGGGGGAAGACAATAACCCAGGTTTCCCAGGATGGCTGGACGAGGAAACCACAGCCCTGTGTCATCTGTTTCTATTCTGCAGATCTAAGTTTAAACAGACAAACAAAAAGCATTTTAACTTGGTTTGTAATCAAAATCGCATGTACTAAAGGCAATCAAATCATAGATATAATTTAGGAAAGTATTCAGATCATTCAGACAAATTTGATTGCCTACTCACGAAGTGCATCTTCAAAATGAAGGGAAAATACCAAAAGGGGAGAGAAGTCCCATATGAAGACATAAGACATGTTATCTCTTCAGAGAATCACAGAACCTCCAGTGCAATTTCATAAAGCTCTTATAGATATTCAAGAATTCCTACAAGATGAGAATCTTTTTTCTTTTCTCTTGGGCTCTGCTCACTTTTGTTCACATCACGCTTACAGTTTTCCCCCATTCTGAAAAGAAGTCAATAAAGTTTGTTGTCCTTTCCCTGTCATCTGCCTACCAGATGTTCATGCAGGAGTTCCAGGTAGGAGATTGCATTTGAATGCCTAAGAATGCATTTTCTGTAAGTATTACAAGTCTGCCTGAGAAGGCTCAGCCTCAGCTTCATTACTGTGCTGCTGGAAAACTTCTAAAATCATCCATCTAAGCCACTGCATCCTAGTAAAGAGGCTGTCAAGATAGAAACTTTCAAAACTCTTTTTAAGGTTTCAAAATTATCCCCCAAAGAAATTTAAAAGCAAAGAATTCCCCTTTGGTGAGTCAGCACATTTTCAGTGACAGCAATGGCATTCACACCTGTTTAAAAAGCCCAAGGTGTCCCAAAACCAAGTTCTGTATGACATGGATTTCACAGAAACTACTGCCATATATATCGTAGTGCTTCTCTGTGGATTTGTACTTTTACACTTTATTTATAGAATCTTCTGATCACACTCAACTTGTGATCCATGTACTCTCAAGTATCAGTGTTTGAGACAGATATTCTCAAGCAGAGTTTCTGAGTACAGCAGTCAGCATTTCTGAAGGAAGAGGAATGAGTATTTACATCTTCCTCTTGCCCTGGGCAGCCACAGAACTTGCCCTCCTCACTGAAAGAAGGGGAGGGAGGAAGGTCTGAGAAGAGAAGGTATTTCCTTGAATTTGCTACCCTGATTCTTATACACCTTTCATAACCATCTCATCTAAAAGATAAAAGGAAAAACTAAATCAATATACAGACCTGTAACCACAGGCTGACCTCCTCTGAGACTTTGCTACTGGCCACCATTTTCTGCAGGAGACCCAACAGCTGAAATGTAGGCTGGTATCACTGCATTAGATAGATCTTTATCAAAAGCTATTTGGGGCTGGAAGATAAGGTTGATGGCATAGCTCCCCTAATTAGCAGGTCTAATGTGCAAATTATTAAGTACCTTTTTCAACTTCTGGTGAATGCACTTTGACAATAGTTTAATGGGGTCTAAAAGCACATTACAGGATTGGAATCAATACACTGATAATAGAATTTCTACCTTCTACTACTGACAGAGGCAATAGAGCCTCTTTTGAATGTGTCTTTCATTGCAGATAATGCTTTTGTGTCACAATTGGTGGATGGACACTGTCATGAGCAGAGCTATTTACAATGATAGATTTATGATGCATTTATTGGGCTCTAATTTATTAAACACTAAAGTGGCTGTTTAGCTGAAAACTACATATAATGTACATTCAACATAAGGAGTGCAAATTAAGCTCTTATCCCAAAGTGAACTAGCCTTACCTTGGCACAATCAATTAGTATGCAATGGTTACAAGTCAAACAGCAGATAAAATGTATTTATCCATATGAGGTTTATTAAGGTAATGAAGTGAAGCATAAAAAGAGACTTGCTGCATTGAAGGCAGAAGAAAGTGACAAGAACCAATGGGTTCTGTTGAACTCCACCAGGCAGTGAACCTCATAAAAAGATGGCTCATACCTAGTCAGTAAAATGTTCTCTCTTTGAGTATAAACACAGCAAACCAGCATCAGAATATTTATTTTAACTTACATTTCACCTTGTTACTCAGTAACTCACTAATATATTAAATCTTCCTTTTAAAGTTATGCCAAACAACTACAAGTCATAAGTCTTCAAAATAGCAGCCACAGCCCTCATTTTAGTTAGATACTAAACTGGATTTGTGTTAGCTGTGACCAACAAAACCATTACTTGAAGCAGAATTAAATTGTTTTAGAATTCAGACCTTCCTCCCAGTGTTAAAAATCCCAGGTAATACTGGAAACTGCCATTTGGTGTGCTTTGCTCCCTAGAACCCAACCTCTGGGTGCTCAGTTCAGTACCAGCCACACAGAGCACTCTAAGAATGTGCTTTTTGGGCACAGATGTATCATAACTTTATCTCAAGTTTTTGAGTGTTTTTCTGAAGACAGTGGAGGTCAGATGTTTTCATACAGGGATTATAATCCAGGGAGGAAAATGACATATGGCATGTGTTTAATATTAAATGTTACTTACATCAGGCAACTGTTGCCTCTCCCCTTTAGTGTGCTTTAGGAATCCCAAATCTGAGGGTACTATTTTAAAATTTAATCCAATCCAGCTTTTAGGATCTTCCATAACGACAGGAAACTGATGACAGAAGTGTAAGATAAAATCCAAGCCTGACACCATTCAAGCAGAAGTTTTGGCCAGCAAACTTGCCATGACTTAAGCAGCCTCAGAGAATTCAAGCTCCCAATTTCCAGGACAGGTTACTGCATCTCCCTGGTGCTGCTGCACTGGAGATGTGCACAGTCCTGGCCTCCCTGAGAGCAAACCCAGAGCACTGCTCACCCCCTCCTGGAGTCTCTGTTTCTTCCTCATGCTAGGAGGCTGAAATCAGATGCTGCTGCTCATCACAATGTGGTCAGGTCCACTTTTTTCATCCAATTATATGCCATAATCAAGTGTAAATTTTAAATCCTCAATTTTAAATCCTCAAAATCAAAAGAGGAAGTATGACAAAAGACTTCACCTAGGAGGTTACCTGCAATAGCACACTAAGGCAGGTTTTTAGAGCTCTAGTGACGTTTATTTTCTACTGTGAGTGATCTTTAGTAGATACAACAGAGCAAATAAAAGCTGTAATCAAATTATATGGTGCAACTGCATTAAAAACTCAGACTTAAAGACCTAAGTAACTGCTTTTCAGAAGCATTAACACCATTCATCCCCTCTGACTAACCTAGGATCTCAACCCTTAAAAAAAAAAGAGTGGGAGGTAACAAAAGAAAATTCAGGTTGATCAAACTTCAGGCTCTCATACTTCAAAAAATACAGATAAAGGAGACAGTGTTTATCTCACAATAAAGGGTCTTTACTATCATTATTATTTAAAACCTCTCTAACTGCTAACTGCAACTCTAAAACTAGGCAGTACTTCTGTAGTTTACACATAATCTAAATTTTGCTATTATTACAAGTGCAATTGAAGAAACAACTTTTTTTTTTCAAGAAACATTCTCAAGCAATAGAACTTTATATGTATGACTGTTAAAAAACAATCACTGCAGTTCACTCCTTAAAAGATCAGATCTTTAAGGTTTTTTTTTAAATACACAGTTAGTTACTCTCTACTCCAAATACTGAGTGAGAATCCCAACTGATGCCTCACAGCACCTTTAACAGTTTCCCATCACATTTAAATTAAAAAATTAGTTAGTAGGGATAATAAAGATTCATCATAGATTAAAGAAAAAAAAACAACTCAAAGCCATTCTTACCTGCGCTTCCCCAAGGTCATTATTTACCACGGTGAAGTTTAGTCCAAGTTCTTCCACATCCCCTTCATAGCTCTTCAGAAAAAGCAAATTTTTGTACATTTCAGGGTCTAGTGAAGCTAAATGATGAATGTCAACATCAGCACTTGTTCCTAATAATTTTGAGAGGAAAAAACTAGCAAAGGGCAGCTCCACCAGCATATTTTCATAAAGAGCCTGAAAAAGAAAGCAATTAAAAAGCACATTAGATTTTATTGTTTGTACATGCAGGAATTCAGAAGGTTATTGTTTGTTTCTCAACTTCTGAGTAATTCTGTCTTAATTTGGTGCCTCAGTAGGTTCTTATGGCATGGAAGTTGCTCAAATATTGCATAAATTTAAGAATATTCATCCAAAATTTGAAATGTGAATATTCTTGTGAAATACCAAGGTCCCAAATTATCTGTCATTACTCTTCTTATCCAAATTGCATTTACTTTCAGGAAAAGCAAAGTTTGCTAAAGGACAATTCAACTGCATCAAGAGTGTCTCACAAAATAAGTTTACACTTCTACTTCCATTAGCACCATACAAGTATTATTCCATTCATATCAATCACTACATGTAGAACTGTCATTCCCCTCATTCCCTTAAACTCTGTATATTCTGTAATAACTCTGTATATTCTTCAGTATATTTTAAACTAATAAAAACTATCTGGTGCATGTTACAGAGATTCATGGCTGCACGTTTGGTGAATTCCACTGCTCTAATGCCACAGCCAAAACATCCTCGTTTCCAAGCCAAGAGTTTACCAGCTCTGACTGTGTCACAGGTCCAATCCTTTCTGTGCCTGACCCTGCTACAGGTGTCAAAAAATTAATGAACCAAACATGTACCTGACGCAAATCTTTTGACTGCAACCTCAAATTATCCCCAAGAATTTTCCAACTCCAGCAACACCATTCTAGGTTCATCTACTGTATGTGCACATTTCCACATAATACAAAGTATCTTTGCATTGTTTTTTATGAAGTCAGTAACAACTGCTTGCTTGGAAGAAAAAAGTACTTATGGTAGCTTCTCAGAAGAAAGAGAGGTGCACCCTTCAGGGCTATTCTGAATAAAGGACCACTGCTGTAAAAAGACCCATTCCTGGCACCTGCTGCCTTTCTCACTGTCCACTCTGTTTGCCCCACCAGCATCTCTGCCAGTGACAACCAGAACATTAATATCACTGCCAGACTGATCAGACACGGCATCACCAACATAACATCATTGTAACATCATTGTTTGCTCCCTTTTAACTCTCCAAGAGCAGAGTTTTGGTGTTACTTGATTCCTCCACAATCTGCTGCAAACTTAGAAAAGGAATCCCACTGAGGGGAAAAAAAAAACAAAACTGAAAAAAGATGAATAGATGTAGCTCTAATCACTCAATGATATTCCAACAAAGACTTTAAGAAAAATATACACGATTCCTTAAACTTCTGAAAGAACATTTTTCTATGAGGTGAGTTAGACCTTGCAAAAAAACCCTGAGAATAACGAGTTCAAAGCCAAAGGGTGCATTATATTTAGAGCTATATGATTTATTCAAGGTGTAGAAGTCAAAATCCTCATTTGTATAGCTGACTTTAAAAGCAAACTAGAGGGATAAATCATTAATTTGCAATGTGTAAGGTCAGTGTTTGCTGTTCCTGCATTAGTAACAATAAAGCTATTGTAATTCCTTAAATATATCAAAGCTACCCGAATTTAAAATGGAATTCCATCTGTGACTCATAAAATGTAAATGCAGAGGTGTAATTTTTTACACAAGGCAGGTTTAAGCCTTTAGAGCATTCAATATACAAGGACTAATAAATGATAGCACTAAAAACTATGATCACATCAGCTAAATGGATTATAAATTAAATTTCCATAATGCATGCAACTGAAATACAAATGTAGACATAAATCAAGGTATTTTCTAAACACAGGTTAATTACACAAATTCAAAACCTGTCTATTTTTTATGCAAAATAATCCACTTAGCATTTTTCAAACTGGTCTTAAGTCTTCACCACTTGCAACACTTGATCCTAGAAGCCTATCAATAATTCCTTGTCAGGAAAAAAACAGCAATAGGTATATTGAAGAAACTTGTATGTTATTTTTCAAGTGTCTGTCTTTTATGAGTGTTTATTGCTAGAAATTGTGCCAAAATGATTTGAAATAAAAAGGATTAATTATGGTAGAAGCTTTTTAATATAAGTGAGTGCAGCTGCAATGCAATTAATGCAAATTGTGATGCTATCAGGAAAATAAATGTGAACAACATCACTGGCTATTTCTGTTTGCTGCCAAATAACTTCAGTAATTTACTACATTAAGAATCAATAAAAAAATAATGCATTTCAAATGCATCACTATTAATCTTCAGGTAGTTCCAAAGTGAACATTTATAACTTCATCTAAAAACTATATAAAGCATTTTTAAATAAACTAAATTGTGCAACTTGAGAATAACTTTAATTACTCCCTCTCTTAGCTAAGTGATTGCAATATTCAAAATAAAGTATTTTTGGAAAGAAGACAAACAGTAGTGTTTTAATTAGTTTGAAAGTCAAGCTATCCTAATAAAGTTAAATAAAAAATGCACTAAAACTCTGGTGAATAAAGTGAGGAACTTTGGTTTTGTTTCAAAGAGGTGCAGGCCACCATTACAGCCTGAGCACTGTGCAGAGATGCTGACAACTGCTGTGTACAATATGAGTAAATAAACTGAAAGTTTATTTTCTGGATTCCATCTAACTTTTCTGTTTCTCAGTCAGCATCAACTGATCAAACCACCTATTCTTACTAAAAAATGAGATTCCACACAATCCTGCCAGGGCAACAAAATCATCAGCTGCTGATTCCCCTGGGTTTGTCTGCAAGCAGAGCAGTTGTACAGTAGAGGCTAGAGGGTCATTACAACCTGAATAAGGATCAAAACTCGCAGATTATTTGTGCTGTGTTTTTTTTGGGCTGTTGGATTTGGGGTTTGCAGGGTGGGTTGTGTGCTGGTGGCCACAGCAGGGACACTGAAGTTTCTTCTAAATTAAACAACCTGAATAAGGATCAAAACTCACAGATTATTTGTGCTGTGCTTTTTTTGGGCTGTTGGATTTGGGGTGCTGGTGGCCACAGCAGGGACACTGAAGTTTCTTCTAAATTAGAGTAAGATCCAGCTCGCAGCCATGGCTGAAACAGGGTGGGAACTGCAGAACAATTTGTTTTCACCAGGAGCACAACCTTTGAGCTGCCAGCTGCCCGTGGAAGCGCACCCTGATGAGGATTTTTCTCACTAAAGCTAATCTAATGGCCAAGAGGGAGACTTCCCTCCTTCCTTGTTTTTCCACACTGATCTCCCTTGGGAAGCTCTAAGTTACCCTGCTACACGCTTAGTTTTTTGCCTGTCTGAACTCTCCGAACTGGCTTTCTGCAATATCAACATCAAGGAGGCAGGAGCCCAGCATCAGGAACAGCCAACGGAATGGTGACCACCTCTACCAGAGGAAAGCAGCTGCCAGATGAATCAGCTGCAGTGTGAAGCTGCATCATTAGAATATACTTACATAGTCCTTTAGTACAATATATGGTCATTCTCTCCACACAGATCTTGTCCTCTTTCTTCCTTTCACAGCCAATGAGCAACAACACTGATGGCAGAAACTGGCTTGCTCTTGGACAGTGCTGTCTATTTCTGTTTGGCTAAATCAGAGCTTCCTGTTCATACACTGCTTCAGGAGCTCAAAGCCACCAATTTAACCAATGTGTATTCTAAAACTAATGTTTAAAACTTCAAGTACGCTCACCCTTTTCCCAAGTTTCCTCTCATTCTGCAGGAATCACCGATGGGACCGATGCCTTTTTATGATGAGCTCTGACAGTTCCCATTCCCAGCTTTCTCATCTGAGCCCCTGACCCCACTGTCTCTGCCCTGCAGCCCATAACCTGCAGCAGGGCCTATGGAAGGCAGAGTCCAGATGGGAGGTCATGAAAGGAGCAACTGGTGGCCATGGATGGCATCAGACTTCCAGCTCCTAACATTCGGATGTGGGGTCAACACCAACAATCTCAACCCATCCTACAGAGCTCTGCCTCCCTGAAAGGCTGGGATATTAGCACTCCAACTGGACTGAAGGGCAATTTGCAGGTACAAGCCTGGGGTAAGAGACTGGTCTGAAGCAGAGACAGTGATGTTCACAACAAGGGCAATCCCACAAGCGCAGTAATGCTCACAGGTGACACATTCCCAAGCAGTTAAAAGGTAATGTCTGCTGAAAAGGCCAACCTGGATTTCCCAGCACTCTTTCAAACTCATGTGGATGAGGGATGCTCTTTAGTTAAAAGCTGACATCTCTAGATATCAAAAAAAAAAAAAAAAGGAATTTAAAAGGTTGTGAAATGACTAAACAAAAAAAATTTCTATTTCAGTAACAAATTATTTTTAGTACCCTCCAACCCAGTATTCTAATTATGCCAAGCCTTTTCTATTTTTCTGAAGAGATGGTTAAAATAAGGGGTTTCTTCCTGGTTAAAAAGCCAAGAGAAATTATTTCACTATGGAAAAAGTAGTATTCAGTGAAAGGAACTTTGTGAGAATGCCTGTACAACACACCAGAATATCAAAAACCACAAAGTAACAGAAAGCCTACTGTGGATACTAAGTTTTCACTTCACATGCAGTCTGAAGTCTGTTGTTCCTCTTTTAAATTACCTCAGCTACCTGTGATTACAGTGTAGTTTCACACTAACTGATTGTTACAAGGACTGGCCTTGACTCAGTTCAGTGACCCAGATCACAATGTGGGCATTTGAAGTAATGAAAAATATGATCTTCAGACACAAATATACTGAATGCACTCACTACACATCTGTGACGCGGAGGAACAAGAAACAGTTCTTTAAAGCAAGCACCCTTCATAACACAGACATGCAATTAGTATCTGTAATATATCATGGAACAAGGATCTGGGCTGAAGGACAGCTGTACATGGTGGCAAAAAGAGAAGGATGACAGTTCTCTGGACAAGGAGGATTTTTCTTCTTCCAACAAAATAACAATAGTGCCTGACAGGGACTACAGATGGTAACTATCACAATACCATTTAAGTACTCCATAGTCACACAAGGTATAGCTCAGGTATGACCCCAAAATTGGGGAACTGCTCCTCAGAAAGAGAAGATTCCACACCATATTTTAAATT